TGCCCAGGGTCACACAGCTAGTGAGTGCCTGAGGCAGGATTTGAACTTGGATCTTCTTGACTCCAAGTCTAGCATGATCTTGTGCTGTCATAGGATCTTAGAAGTTAAAAGGGACCTTGCAAATCTAGCCCAATATCTCACTAAGTATAGGAATCCCTTTAACTGTATGTCTAAAAGAGGAATATCTCAGACCCATCTTAGATATTTCTATATACAGAGTGATCAGGGAAAACCCCTAATCTGTTGTACTGGGTCATGTCCTATGAGGTCGGGCATTTGCTCTGAAGCTCCGTGGCAAGAGATTCCTTATGTCAGCCCTGTTTTTGTTGTTGCTGTTACTAATTGTTGTTGAGTCATTCCAACTCTTCATGACCCCTTTTGGGGTTTTCTTGGCAAAGATACTGGAGTGGTTTGCCGCTTCTTCTCCAGATCATTTGACAGATGAGGAAACTGAGGCAAACAGGGTTAAGTGACTTGCCCAGAGTCATTTAGCTAGTAAGTGTCTGAGGCCAGCTGCCCCACCCTTGTGACATCTCCAGTAATAGTGACTTCATCTAGATGTTGAAGTGGATGGAGTGCTGGGCCTGGAGTCAGGAAGACTCATCTTCCTGATTTCAAATCTGGCCTCAGACACTTGCTAGCTATGTGACCCTGAGCAGGTCACTTTAATCCTGTTTGCCTCAGTTTCCTCATCTGTCAAAGGAGCTGGAGAAGGAAATGGCAAACCAGTCTAGTATCTTTGCCAAGAAAACCCCAAAAAGGGTCATGAAGAGTTGGACAACTGAACAACAACAAAAAAGAAAGTCCATCCTTTTTATTGACAGCTCTGAAGCTTCCTTTTTATATGAAGTCAAAATCTGCTGCCCTTTAACTACCAACCACTGGTAGCTGTTCTCCCCTCTACAGCCTCACAGAATATTTAATCTCTCTTCCGCCTGATGGTTCTTCAAATATTTGAAGACAGCTATCATGGCCCCATTAATTTTCTATTCTCCAGGCTAAACATCCTTAGAGATACACAAGTTTATCCATGTGACTCCTAAAATAAAGAGCTTAGATTTAATCACAAAACTGTAAATGAAGTCTAACCAGGGTAGAGTATAGCAGGACTACTATTACTCCCTCTTACCAGACACTATACTCTTATTAATGTAACATATGATTGATGTACAGCTAGAGTCCACCTTGGGGCTAGTTGTGGTGGCTACCCTCAAGTCCCTGCTAATGACCTAACCCCTGGCCTAAGTAGTCAGTGACTCTGGGAGGCTGAGATGATTTTGGTATTGGTGGCAAAGTAAAGAGTGCAACTTCCTTCTCCCTTTTCACACAAATTTATTCCTTTCCCCTTCAAGGTCATTCCTTTTAACCTAATTTTATACATGTATAGAAATATTGGGGTGTAGGTCATGCTTTTAAACCTAATTTTATGTGTACAGAAATATGTTACTAGCTGTGTTTTATTGTATTTTTATTTATTTTGTTAAATATTTCCCAATTATAGTTCAGTCTGGTTTGGGCCCCAGTTGGGAGTATTGTGGGCCCTTGTGCCCATGGGCATGTGTGTGTTTGATGCACGTCTGATCTACAAAGTTTTCTCACAATTGATTCCCCTTCACCTTCTCTGCAATCCAGTGACACTGGGCACCTTGCAGTTCCTAGCACAAAATATTCCATCTTGCCACTCTGGGCATTTTTACTGGTGGTCCCTCATGCTTGGAACTCTTCTTCCTCAACCCTGCCTGCTGGCTTCTTGGCTTCCTTCACATCTCAGCTAAAGTCCTACTTTTTACAAGAAGCCTCTTCCAGTCCTCCCTAATCTCAGGGCTTTCCCTCTAGATTATCTCCAATTTAGCCTATATATATCTTATTTGTACACAGTCGTTTCCATATTGTCTTCCCATTAGATTATAAACTCTGAGAGCAGGGACGGTTTGCTTTTTGCCTTTCTTTGTATCCCCAGTGCTTAAAGGGACAGTGCCTGATACACAGAAAGTATTTAATAAATGCCTGTCCACTTCCAGCTGTAAATCCTATTATCCCTAGAGAATAGTCTATAATGGCCAGGTTTGAACTCAGGAAGATGAATATTCCCGATTACAGGCCCAGCACTCTATACTCTGTACCACCTAGCTCCCCAGCTGCTAGTTTACAGAGCCAAACAAAATTTTCTTTCCAATTTTTCATAGAACCCAAGAGTTGAAAGGGCCTCAAAGGTCTACTAGTCCAACACAAGGGGATTCTGAGCAAGAATCCCCTCAATGATCTCTGACAGGTAGTCTAATTTCCACTTGAAGATCTTCAGAAATGGGAAACTCACTACTTCAAAGCAGCCTATTCCACTTTTGGCCAGCTCTAGTTACGGAGTTTTTCCTTATACTGATCCAAATTTTGTCTTTTTGTAGGAAAGACACCACCACTTCTTAATTAGTTAGCCAACGTAAGTTATTTGTAAATTGGATGGAAATATAAATATTTATAAATATTCATAAATTTATAAATTTGATTTTCAGTGCCCTCTCTAGGTGATATATAAAAACATTAAATAAGGCCAATTTTAGCTGAAAAGTAATGTGAGCCTTAGTTTTCCCCCCAGAGAACTATTTGTCTCTGTATTTTGTTTTGTTTTGTTTTGTTTTAGGTTTCTAAGCTACTTCTCTATTCCTTAACTTACAAATCACTTTTGATGTGCCCCTCTTTAATGCACTTATCATATATTATTTATGTTGCTCTCTTGTCTGGTGCAGATTGCTTCTCTCCTAGTGATGTTCCCATGGAAACTTCGTTGGTGAAGGTGTTACCCAAAGTCCCTCCAAGTTCCTACAACTTTTGACCTTGAAAGACTTTTAGAAGATAAATAACAGACATGATTTAGAAGCAGTAGCTGGAAGAGAGCGGGAAAGGGGGGAGGAAGGAAGAGAGGACCAGAATTGAACACCATCTGGGACTCCATTCTAGACTACTGTGGTCATTTCTTGCCTGATGGCTTGGATTGAAGCATAGTAGATTGAGAATGGAGAACTGCTGGCCACATGCAAGTGAGAGGTGGAGGCACTGTTATTGATCAGGGGAGCAAGAGAGCACATTGGTCTAAGCAGGAGATGATGGTAGTTGACACAGCTTAGGTCCAATCTATAGCCCTTGCCTTACCTTCTCCATTCCAGAGCAGGGGACCACTTTTATTGACCTATCTACTCTTCACTTCCCATTCTTGCCCTCCAATCTGGTGACAGGAAGGATATAATAGAAGAAAAAGCCTTTTGTCCTCTTCTTGACTGGCAGCCAAAGTAGCTAATATTCTGGAAGTTTTATTTCTTTAACTCCTTACTTTCATTTCTTGTCTTGTTTGAAGTTATTGGGGGGGGGGGAACCCAGAAGGCGATTTCCCATGAGTTTATTTGCATACGAATGCTTGGCATGGGGTTGAAGAAGAACCAAACTCCAGAGAGGGGAGGTTTTTGAGTTTTCCTCAGTTTAGACTGGGTGGGAGCCAGAACCAATGAATATTAAAAACAAAACAAAACAAAAAACACCAACAAAACCCAAACCAAACCCAAACCCCGAACAAACTCAAAACCCAGAGTGCACATGCCAAATGCACACATAACACCTGGATTGCATTCCTTTTAAACCTCAGGAGACAGAAAGACGCATAAGGAAAATGAACTGAAAAGCCACTTGGTTGGGGCACTTTTGCTTGAGGGTACCTTGGTGCTGATGAAGGACTGAAGTTTGCCATTGCTGCTAATCTCACAGACTGTTGAGGTCCATACGTATACATATATGCCATAAGGTTCTAATACTGAATTCTGTCACTAGTCTGTGTTAACTGAGCTGTTGATAATTCCTAGTTTGTCTAACATGGAACCTGAGTCCCCAGCCACATGAGTGGGGTAGCCTCCTTTGATTGGCTGTCTAAATCTTTTCTTTTTTAATTGTTCAAAAGAACAACTTGGTTTCTTTTTTTTAAAAATTTATTTTTAGTTTTCAGCATTCACTTTTATATGATTTTGAATTCTAAATTTCCCTCTCCTTTCTTTCCCCTCTCCCCAAAATGGCAAACAATCTGATACAGGGTATACATGTACAATCATATTAAACATATTTCCACATTAGTCATGTTGTGAAAGAAGAATCAGAACAAAAAGGAAAAACCATGAGAAAGAAAAAACAAACAAGAGAAAACAGTATGCTTCGATCTGCATTCAGACTCCATAGTTCTTTCTCTGGATCTGGATAGTATTTTCCATCATGAGTCTTTTGGAATTGTCTTAGATCACTGCATTGCTGAGAAGAGCCAAGTCCATCAAAGTCAGTTGTCGAACACTGTGGCTGTTATTGTATGCAGTGTTTTCCTGGTTCTGCTCACTTCACTCAGCATCAGTACATGTAAGTCTTTCCAGGTTTTTCGGAAATCCACCTGCTGATCATTTCTCATGGAACAATAGTATTCCATTACATTCATATACTATAACTTGCTCAGCCATTCCCCAATAGGTGGGCATCCCCTCAATTTCCAATTCCTTGTCACTACAAAAAGAGCTGCTATAAATATTTTTGTACATGTGGGTCCTTTCCCCTTTTTTATGATCTTTTTGGGATACAGACCTAGAAGTGGTATTGCTGGATCAAAGGGTATGCACAGTTTTATAGCCCTATAGGCATAGTTCCAAACTGCTCTCCAGAATGGTTTGATCAGTTCACAACTCTGTCTGCATCTTTAAAAGTGGAAAAACCGGATGGTTCTCTCTCTTTTCATCATCTTTTTGGCTTCACTCTTTGGGACTCCTCTCTGCTGTGCCCAGGTTGGATGCCTATTAACGGAACAAGTGAGAAGTGAGGGGGGAAGGACTTACCTACCCTTCTTACCTCTCTTTTATTCCAGCTCTGAGAAATGGGCCTGGAGGTATTTGTTTCTGCTTTGAGTTGTGTTTCCTCAGTTTCAGGTTCGGGGGTTACCTTGACAAGACTAGAAGCTTAAACCATGTTAACTTTGGGGCCAGGATTCCAGGTGGGGTGATACAGCCAGACAGGCCAGAAGCCAGGGTACTTGAAGCAACTACAGGCCCTAAGCAACTCAAAAGCTTGAAGACAACTCAAGGACAACTTAGAAGGGAGGAAGCTTCAAGAGAACTGAAGAACTCTCATCTCTCCTGCTTGCTTCAACTCCACCCTGCTCTTCACACAGGTGAGGGACATTGATCTCCACCATTACCAATGGTCTTTGGGACTGGGGTTATGAAGGCAGGGAACATGGCTTACTTAAACTTTGTGTTCCTTAACATCTAGCACTATATTCTGCATTTAGGAAATATTTAAATATTTGCTGTAACCAATAAATCTCACCATTATCATGAGATGCACTGATTTGATTGTGGCCAGACCAAATGGCAGGAAAACCAAAAGTCTTCCATAGACTAGAAAAGGTGATTTGACTCTGGTTTGTTTATAGGAACGAAGTGTTAGGAGTAGGGTATCCTGTTTATGGCTACTTCAGCTTAAGATCAACAGTGAAAAACAACTTTGAACCAAAATGTAGTCAGCATCAATGCTTTTTATAGGTTGACTTGTTTTGGATTTGTCTAAGTAAGGGCTTTTTCTATCAGTTCTAGCTTCAGGGCTTTCAATTGGTTCTACAAAAAGTCTCAGTACGAAAGACCATGGGAATATGGATCAGTATTCTCTGTACCCCTGTACCTCTTTTCTGAAAATGTTACCTTTACCTGGAATGTTATCCCTCCTATTTTTTTTTCATTTAATTTTCTTTTTAATTTGAACTTAACAAACACCAAATAAAATGAGCATTCTCACATACAGTGAGGAACAGAAGTCGATTGTACATGAAATTGCTATTACAAATACCTTGTTTTTCTTTTAAAGTATATAATAAGGTCAACATGTGATTTTCAAAGCAGTTCTGCTTGTCAGATTCTTTCTCTTTTCTTTATTCTTTTTCAGGGGCTGACAAGATCCTAACTTTAGTCTCCCTCTCTTCTACCTCCTCTCAATTGAAAAACAAAACTCTTGTAATAAATATGCAGTAGAAACCAAATTCCACATTAGCCATGTCCAAAAATGTATGTTTCATTTTTCATCTTAGTTCACCTCTCTGTCAGGAGGTGGGCAGCATGCTTCATCATCAGTCCTCTGAATGGTGGTTGGTCATTACCTTAATCAGAGATTGTAAGTCTTTCAAAGTTGTTGCTTTTAAAGTGTTATTGTTGTATAAATTGTTCTCCTGAATCTGCTCACTTCACTATAAAGCAGTTCACACAAGTCTTCCCAGGTTTGTATGAAACCATCTGTTTCATCATTTCTTGTGGTATAATATTCCATTACATTTAAATACCATAATTTGTTTGGCCATTGCCAAGTTAATAGTTACCTCCTTGGTTTCCAGTTCTTTGCCACTACCAAAAGAACTGCTATAAATATTTTGTGCTTCTGGGTTTTTTTCCTGTTTTTTTGATCTCTTTGATGTACAGGTCTAGGAGTGGTATTACTGGGTCAAATGGTATACACAATTTTCTCACTCTTTTTATTCAAGACCCAGCTTATCTTAACTCCATAAAATTCTTCTTCCCTGATTCTCTGAGACCAAAATGATATCTCCCTTCTTTGAACTCCCACAATACCTCTTGCCTGTATGTATCATCATCTTGGCACTTACCATAATCAGCACTGGACAATAAAGAAGTTACATTTTCACTTGTGTGTGTTTATATGTATATGTATAGATATGGATGACATAGATATAGATATATACATAGATATAATCCAAAAGAGGGCCTAGTATAGTGGAGAGCAAGCCTTAGCGTTTGGAAGATCTGAGTTCAAGTTCCATCTTTGATTTTACTGATATCATGTACTGGACAAGTTACAACCTCTCAGTGTTCCAGGCAGGTGTCTTAAGAAAATAAATTTCAGAACAACTGCTGATATGCATAAGTAGAGGGAGTTTCCTTACTGGGAGTTCTCTATAACCAATGAAATCATGTCTGAACCAAAAAGAAACTCTTACCCACTGAATTAGATCTTCAAGTTCCATGAGGTCAGGGAAGGCATCTTGTTCATTTTTTTGCTTCCCAGGAAGTACGCAACACATTGTAGGTATTTAATAAATAAATGCTAATTAAAATTAATTAAATGAATGATTTTTGCTGCTGACTCAAAAATGCCTGATTATTCTTCGTTGGCTCTATTGGGATCTTGTTATTAATGGATTTAGTTGTTAGACTTCTTTCTCAGAACAAAATTAGACTGCTGCAGCACGTAGGTCCTTTTTCGCTGAGGGGAAGATTCCTGTCTTGCGGCATGCACTGCCGCTTAAAATCACAAATGGCCAAAGAAAACACCTATGAGATAAATAGTATAGCTAAGCAATTTGGGATGGACACATGAAGCCATCTAGGTTCTTAGAGCCCTAATGTTCAAGGAACCATACTAATAGTAGCAGGATCCTAGGTGACTCTGTTTGTAAAATCACTTAAGTTATATTTTGAGGTGGGGAAAGGTTGCTATGTTATCTCCTGAAGGTGCTTGTAAATCAACATTTCTACTAATTTTTCAACTTCTGAGCTGTATGTAAATAAGCCATAAAGGCTCAGCAGAGATGAATAATTTAGGTTTGGTTTTTTTTTTTTTTGGCTAGGTAGTGGGGTTAAGTGACTTGCCCAGGGTCACACAGCTAGTAAGTGTTGTGTGTCTGAGGCCACATTTGAACTCAGGTCCTCCTGAATCCAGGGCCAGTGCTCTATCCACTTCGCCACCTAGCTGCCCCACAATAATTTAGTTTTAATAACATAAACTTATATATAAAAATAATATTATGTATATATGTACAACTATTGTGTTATACAGTAATTAGGATAACTAGCAAACTGTTCACATAAATGATAATTAGTATTTTATAAATCTAAACCATATTTTAGCTTTTCTTTTCTCACTTTGTTAGTTCTTCAGTATCTATAATCAGCATTGATAGTTTCACCCAGATACCATGTATAATTTAATTCACATAATATACATACTCAAGGTGATAGATCCACTTAGAACTCAATTTCTAGAGTTAGCTTTCTTTTCCTTCATAGATCTAATCCCCTCCAAGGCCTTTCTCCTTTGTCTCCCTACTACCTAAGGCAGCAGAAAACTTAGGTTGTGAATGATTTGCCTAGAAGGAAGACAGCATAATTACCATACTACAGGGGTAGATGAAACCTGGGTGGCGGTTGAGGGCAAGTGAGAGAACAGTAATAATGGATTCTGAATCTTTGGAATCTGAGAGTCCTGAGGTATTACAGTGTGTTCCAGGTCCTGGAATTAGAGTTTGAAGGCAGCTTCTGATACTTGGATTTGCATTTTTCTCTCTTTCCATTTGCCCTCCCCTCAGCATCTAAATGGAAGTAGGCCTTTATTTCAACTTGCTCTCCCCAGCACAGCATGGACGGGAGTGAGAAACAGTGCAATTTTTGCTGACCTTAACTCATCCATTATCTCACTTGAATTTTTTTTCACTTCCATCTTTTCCCTTCTACTAACTCACAAATGATTCTAAAGTATGGGCAATATGGGCCTACCTTCAAAGTGGAGACGTGTGTCGTGGGGTTGTCTTGAAGGAATTTGCTCAGACCATCTCCAAGCTAAGTAAAGGCATTTATTGGGGTGACACACCCAGTAGACTCTTCCTTATGGAAGGCCAGAGGGCCCAGTGAGCCCTGTTCCCTACTGGAGACCCAACATTGACCCAGGTTATGTGTCTGGTCTATATACAGTTTGACAAGATGGGGCAGGGGGAGCTACTACAGTTTAAGAAAATGGGAAGGGGGAACAAGGTAGAGGGGAGCGCTGCTCCAGAATGTCATGTAGTCCATACAGGTAAGCAGAGGGGACAGGAAAGGGGGAAGGAAAGAGCTATTCTGGAATGTCAGGTAATCTAAGGTACTTTGTGAATGCATACAGATAAGCCCACGGTGGGGGGTTTCAATGCAGTCTTCTCCAGTACTTTCTGGCCGATCACATCCTGCATTCTGTTTGCTCCATCTGTCTCAAATACTCCTATCTGCCTCATCACTAATCACAATGATTTGGGACAAAGATATGCAGTTGAATGCACTGTCCATAAACCTGGTCTATAAGTGCATATATCTTAGAAAGATACTGCAAGCAGATGGACAATGACCTGGGTCCAGAATTGGCTAGGATGGATTGAATTTGGGATACAGCACAATACTTTTAAAGATCATAAACTTCTCTCTGAAACAAAGGCCTAACTTTTTAATACTCTTTCTTTCTGGTTATGCAGCTGCAAAATATGGAATACTGTTGTCCCTGATGAATAAAAGTTGCAAGTAACCCCACGGACAATGGAGAGAGAAGCATGGGGGCATGAGGAACTTTCAGCACAGTATTAAGGAACTGCACAGGAAAAGTGGTATATCAGAGAAATGTGTGGCTGTAGGCTGGCCAGGTGGCACACGCGTGTGAGAAAAAGCAAGAGATAGAGATCTTAGCTACTGGATAATCTATGTATTCTCCTGGTGTTTATCCAATGTGATGCTATCAATGTCTGAAGGAAGGACTTTTGACACATTGGGTGGATTTATTTGTGAAGGTCTGGTGAGAGGATGTAGGCAAGAACCAGAATGAGGGGGTATAGATAGGATATAACCTGGACCATTTTGAATTCAGGGGTTCTATTCTCCTGCTACCAAAACTTATTGGCTAGGGTGTCAGTAATTTCCATTTCCCTCTATATTCTAGCTAAATCCCTGATTGCTTGTTCAAAATTTACCATTAATTGGCACTCTTCTCTGCCCCCAACCTCTTTCTGTAGTCTGATCTCTCTACTTTAGTCCCTGAGTATGATGGTAATGGAATATTATTGGCTGTAAGAAGTGACAAGAGGGACAATTTTCAGAGAACTCTAGGAAGATATATGAAGCTATGCAGAAGGAGATGAACAGAACAATTTATACATTAATAATACTCTAAAGAAAAACATCCTAAAGACAGTGATATTCAGTTCAATACTTTGAGACATGGCCAATGTGGGACTCTATTTTGCTTGCTAGTCATATTTGTTACAAGTTTTTTTCTTTATCTTTTCCCTTTGGGGAGGGAATAGTGGGGAAGAAGGACTAATTATAGAGTTGTATCTACAATTCCTTCTAAGGGACTAATTTCCATATTACCTCTGGTAGGCATTTCAGGAATCAATAACATCCAGAGGGCATAATAGAGGGATGATTTATTATTCTCAAAGTGGAAATTTAGTTTCTTACACAGAACAACCTAATTGCCTTTTCTCCCCACTAGTTCCCCAAGGACCTCATCAGCTCCAAGACGGCTTTAGGGATTAAGGTCTGTGAAGCCCAATATTCCTGAGGCAGCAGCAAGGAGACAAAATGCCTCTCCCTGGCTCCCTTATTCCCTATTCTCTCAACCAAGACAAATGACTTGAACTGTAGAGTCAGAAACCTCCAAGAGAACCAGGTAGGTAAGCTGGTACTTAGAGGTTAGAGTGGCTAATTTAAAGAGTTTTAAGCAGGTTGCTTTTTTGATGTCTTCACTGGTGATTTGTTTTTATACCCTGGCTAGGGTTACCTTGATAAAAGACAAGAAAAAAAATGTTTAATTTAGGTCTTGAAGAGTTGAATTATCCAAAGAAAGACTTCAGAATCTTAAAGGGGAGGAGAGAACATCAGGTTCTTCATCAAGCTTTGGGAATGTTCCCAATCTCCTAGAACATGTAGGTATGTACAATCTGGCCTTTTTTTGATTCTTGAATTAGTTACCATCTCCTACCCCCAAACCCCAAATTTCAACCATTCTCTCTCATCCAAGCCATCTCCCCTGGTACTTGATGTAATCAAAATCCCCCAGCATTCCTGTTTCATAATCAGAGATTATTATTGATTGTGATTGGCTGCTTGAAATGGAGCATCTGAACAGGGCACTTACATATGTGCTGAAGTAACCGACAGCTTGAAAGTGAATTCTTAACCTGGTCATCTACTGAAGCTTTTCCACCATTTCACTCTCTGCAGAGCAATACACACAGGGGACACAATGCAGGAGTGATCCATTATTTCTAAAGTGAGAGCTGGGCTTCCTACACAGATCAATCTAATTTCATTCTTTCCTCATTAGAGTCCCTCTCGGATTTTCCAGTCACTGATGAGGTCCAAAAAGGCCTTATGGGCATAACTAAATTTCCCCGGGGCAGCAGCAATCAGATAAAATATTTCTACAAGGAATTACTCTAGGTTTTATCAGAGAAATCCACCTGGTAAAATGCAGACTGAAGAAATTAGTGCAGTGTTGTCAATCAGTATGGGCCCAGAAGCCTGAGGCCTAAGAGAAATCCAATCATGAGCAAATAGGAATATGAAAAAGAAAAGGAAAATATAAGCCCTGGGACTTAAGATTTACAAAGTCAGTGTGGCGAACCTTTTCAACAGGAAACCTATCTAAATGAAAGGCAATAACTGCGAATTTAGTGTTTCTAAATCAACATCTAGATCTGTCTAATCCTTAACACTAGGAAAAGCTTGAGAACTCATACCTGAGGACGGAAGTTATAGAAATTAATGCTTAGCAATACTCTGGGGGAATGGGTTTGTTTTCTACTATGATCAAAGTCAGACTGGATGTCAGAAGGGACAGAGACTATTATTATTTGGGTTTCAGAACAATGGAGAGAAGCCTGGGTTTCTCTTCAGTTGTTGTGTGTACTTTCAACTCAATTCAATCCAACAAATGTTTATGAATTGCTTACTTTGTGCAAGGTTCCTGTCCTCAAGGAACTTGATACAACAAGTAAGTAAATACAAAGTAATTTCAAAAGGAAGACGTGCTAACTGATGTGTGTGTGTGTTAGTGTTACAATTAAGAAATATCTTGCTTAGGTAATATAGCACCTGAGGTGTGATTTAACAGATTGAATGCTTCATCACCAGCAGAACTGATTGGACACAGGAAATACAGGAATTCAAATAGTGAGAAACAAGTGCATTTCAAATATAGGATAACTGGATTTCCTGGGAAAGAATTTCTAATCCACTGATCAGTCACTAGGTAGAGTAGAAACTATTATAGAAATAAACAAGTTCCTAAGAAAACTGGAGGGAACATTGGTATGATGGGAAGAGCATCAGATATGGAGTCAAAGGGCTTGGGTTTGAATGCCAGCTCTGCCATGGACTACTTGTGTGACTTTAAGTCAGTCCTGCAATTTCTCTGGGCCTCATCTATAAAATGAAGTGGCTGGACCTGATGGAGGCACAGTGAAGGGCCAGGGATGACGGCATGTTTCACATGTAGGGCACCTAACCCTTCCTCACCACTACCCTCTCTGAATAGTAAGATTCTGCCCTGGAGTCATTTGTTGAGTTAAACTACTATTCAACTTGAAGGCAGGAAGAAATTTTAGTGGTATTGATTGATGTGGGAAAACCCACAAAAGGCTAGACTGCTGGAAACTTATCTACTACCTGAACTCTAGGACTTTTAGCTTTGATCTTATTTTTTACCAGGTGACCCTGAGATAGTTACAGAACTACCCTAAAATTTCATTTTGCTCTTCCTCATTAGAAAAACAGGCTGAAAAAGGAGGGAACACTTCTTATTGGACATTTCCAACTGGATGTCCTGCTTAAAAAATGTGTCATGTCCAAAAAGCCTTTGATGACCCTAATGCCCAAAGGACAAAGTCTTAACTCTAGCCCAGCAGTCAAAACACTCTATGATCTGGTCCCAGTCTTAACTTCTACTACTTTCCATGTTGAGCTATCTACTCCACTTGGGCTAGTCTCCTCCCTGAGATGACAGATAGGTCTTACTTATTCTCACCTGTTGCTTTGCTCATCTTTTCCTATTTAAATCCTGTCTCTCAATGCCCACCCTCAAGTACTACCCCAACCACTGATCTCTCCCTCATCTGAGACTTACTGCCTATACATACTCATTTTAGCATTTATCATTCACCATCTTGTATTACTATTTATACTTATGACAGTGGATGTTCCTTCCTCAACTATATTATAACCTCTCTCTGGGAAGAAAGTGTATCGTTTATTTCTTTTGTGTCCACCAGAGCAATCTGGCAGAGTGCAGGCATAGTTTCAGCTCAAGAAATGCTTGGTGAATGAACATTACAAATGCATCTTCAGGTCACCACATACTTCACCTGATGGAATTTAAATATCTTGGGACACAGATAACTGTCTAACCTCCATTACTGCACAGAGCTTGCTTTTTCCTCTTTATTTCTATCTTCTCCAAGAGGACAGAAACAATTTCAAGCGGGCTTTATTGCTCTTTTCTAGCTTCTACCCACTGTAATAGCTCAGTGAAATCTAAGCTGTCAGAAGTATTGAAAATTCAAAGGTCCTAAGCCCTTTCCCTTAAGTTAAGAAGAATAAAGATTTTCACATTCAGAGAAATCCATCATCTTGGTATTTAATACTATGGGAATCTTTCATTTCTGTTTTGTTAACTTGTTTCTATACCAAAAGCACTCTGAATCAACCTATCAAAGAGTGAGAACCATGAGGGGATCAGGTCAACTTTCTCTCCCACTCTTTGGGCTCTGAAGCATCCATTATTAATATTAGGGAACAGGGCTTTGAATTTAATTAGCTTGCTATGTTACCATTTTTGGCCTGAAGTTAGCTAGATACATTTTAACTCATTCCCTTCAGAAGAACAAAACAACAGGTTCCAAGGTACCTGAGGAATAATTGATACAAAAATGAAATCAAAATTGAAGAAGGTCTGCCCTGGTGTTTCCCAAACGATGTTCTACAGAACCCTCCTGTTTCATGGATGACTTTTTTTCCATATGAAAATGCAAATGCTAGTGACATGTTTCCCTTTAAAGATGTAAAAATGAAATGATGTATGCATCAAAAATCCTTTGATAAGGATTTTTCTATATGAAAAAGGCTTAATTTCCTCTCTGTTGTTTCAGATTCTTCCCAAATTACCCAATCCTTTTAGAGCAAGGGTACTGAGATTTCACAGGTTAAGGATGAGGCCCAAAGGTAAAGATATGAACAGCCTGGTATGGTGGAAAAAACAATGGCTTATAGAGCTAGATAACCTGGGTTCAAATCCCATTTCTATTACTACTAGTGTGACCCTGGACAAGTCACTTAAGATCTGACATGTTTTCTCACCCTTTACAATGAAGGAGTTGTCTTAAAGTGCCTCTAAGGTCTGTTCTCAATTTGTAATCCATGATCCTCTCATCCCTGTGGTATTTTATACCCCATCCCCACCCCCACCCTAGGCCAGCATTTCTGAATTCTATCAAAATAGTTCAAGCTCAGAATTAGTTTAGGAATAAACTTCAGGCTGAAAATGAGGTGAAATTTAATAGAAATAAATGTAAAGTTCTTAATTTGGGTTTTTAAAAAAACAAATATGCAAGGAAGGATAAGCTGGGGGAAATCTAGTTGGTAAACACCTCACATGCCAGTTTGTTTCTTTCAGTTGACTACAAGCTCTATGAAAGTCAACAGTGTCAAATAGCTGGGGGGGGTGTTTTAAGTAATGTCTTGGCTGTATTATACAGTTCTCTTGATGAACTGGAACTCTTCCAGGGGATAACCAGGTTAGTGAGAGAATGGGAAACCATTTCATTTGAGGAAACTAGGGCCGTTCAGTCTTGAGAAATCTTAGAGAGGAAGATAACTACCTTCAAACAGAGCAGGAACTAAAGAGTGGCCAAGATAGAACATTACTTAGAGTGCTATAATATATAGGGGAATATTTGAAGGATTGTCATCTGAAAAGGAAACAGACCTATTTTGAGCTGTCCACAAATCAGAGCTAAAAAATGAAACAGGCTACCTAATAAAACAGTGAGCTTCCTGTCATTGGAAGTATTCAAGCAAAGGCTGAGTCACTAATTTGCTGCAGGAAGCAATACTGGATACCATGTTAGGAGGCTTGACTAAATGAACATTAAAGTCCCCTCCAAACTCTTAAGATTTTATGTTTCTATGATTTTATTTCACTGAGTGGCAGTTTGAGGAAGTGGTAGCAGTTACAGGTTTCAATCTTCCTAAATGGAAATCCCTTACTGTTCCTCAGAAAAGACCAAAAACATGAAGAATCATGAATTACTGGCCTAATTACTAATTAGGAGTAAGATTACCTAAGTAGGAGTGCTTAATTAGGAGAAAGATGTTTTTTCAAGCATCTACAAAGCTATATCTGGAGAGTCAACACCTTCAAAATGCCTGACCCATTTAAAAGGTTTTTAATTTAAGTATAAAAGTACAAACAAACCAGCTAGAAGTTTTACATTGAATGGTTATTAGTACATAATACAGTGTATAATTCACAACTACTTAATAAGTATCTGAGCCCTAGGTGATATGTTACATAGGCCCTTTCTGCTACTAATTTCAAAACTCCCAGGGGACGTGCCAACTTAGCATTGGGTTTTTTTTTTTAAAACCATCTTCCCTAGTGTCGGTTCCAGTGACATTCCGCTAGACCCAGAGATCAGGGCAGAACTGAGGGGGTGTGAATGATAGGAGGCACTATGAACAAATTCCATCAATAATGACATCTAGTCTTTTGCAAGTGGTTATATCTAACTTGGCTGGTGCAACTGTCAGGGAGAAAGCCCAAATGCAAACACTTGTCTGCATTTTACAGTTTGGATCAAATAAGGGTGTTAGCCCAGCTCTCTAGACCATCCAGGGTACGGAGTATCAATTGCATGTTACCCCTCCCAAGTCGAATAACATAATTTACAAATGTTAAACATTAATGAAACAGGACTTGGGCTCCTGCCCAAATACAATAGGGCTATTTTGTGGAACAAAGAATTACCATTGGCCTAGTTCATCTCCACTCAATAGAGCTTTGGGTAGGGCACAGGATTCAGGGTTAGGTGTGTTAAGGATTCAGAATCCAGGATGTTGAAGCCACCCACACCATGACTAGAAAACAGCTTTAAGGCCTAAGCTTTTATCCTACCTCACATCAAGTGAAAGGGCCTTAAATAGGGCAGTCAGGGAGTCTCTAATCACCATTTAACTATCCATGAATTTGCCACAAATTCTGAATATAACTCTGTATAGTTTGGGAGAAAAGGAGTCATTGTTTCCCAATTTTAGCTTCACAATGATCACAAACAATTAAATGTCTGAATTTTGAAAATTCATAAACACTTACAGATTTTTCAGGATTTATGAGCAAATGCAGCAGCTAACTGCATTTATTTAGTAATAAGAAAGCCATCCATTGTACATGTGTCCATGTAGGTGATAGGCTGCCTTTGTGGTTGTATACAATGTAACAGCTTTTCCCCTTTAACAGCAAAGTAACTTTTTCCTTGGAAAGTCTTTCAAAGGGAATTTTTTACTGGTGTCATACAGCAGGACCCATTCATCCATGGGATGGAGGAGTTAGGGAATCAAACACAAATAATTCTGTAGTTCAAAAACAACTTGGAATAACATGACTATAAATAGATCTCAATTAAATATAACACTTTGGACAATTCCTCCAGTGGTTTTGCTTTTACCATCTGGAGAAAATAATTTTAAAAAAAGCCAAAAGTGAGAGGAACAGACTGCACAAGATCCTGGTCTTGGGGACCCCTAAAGCTCCCTGGTTCCAAAGTCCTTCCTAGAGCTCTAGTCATTGGAGACATGGGACATGGGTACTAGACCTGAGTCAGTGGCAAGAACTTCTGGTAGTAGCTCTTGGTAACATCGATCATCAGCTCCTGGGTGCACTCTGGGAGTTCCCCAGAGAAGAGTCCTAAGGAAAGAGAACAGAGAAGGTAAAGGAAGGGCTCAGAGCTTATGATTTTTAATGATTATTTTAGGCAATTTTATTTCATTATCAGGATCTAAATGTTTGACTTTCCATCTACAAAGGAAAAGAAGACCTGTAGTTTTAATTCATTGTTCATATTTTTTATATGCCACTTAGGCTTTGATAAATTAAGACACTTCCCAAAGTGTAGGAATACATTTAAGCATTTTAATATGAAGTGTGGCAATTGTATTAAATCACCTAAGAGATTTTAAAGCGAATTTATGACTCACGGAATTTTTCCAAGAGTGAGCATAGCATGCTCAGTCCTAGGGTTTTGGTATAACGCTATCCCAAGTAAGATAGAAATAGGCATGCCAGACCACAATTTTTTAACAAAAACTTGCTAATCAACTATAGAGACAAAATTATTAGGAATGTACATGAAATAAGTGATCAAAGGATGTGAACAGTTTTCAAAAGAACTGCAAACTATTAACAACCATGTGAAAGAATGCTCCAAATCACTAATGATGATAAATACAAATCAAAACTCTGAGGTTTCACCTCACACCCTGCAAAATTGGCAAGATGACAAAAGATGGGAATAGTCAATGTTGGAAAACAGGTACACTAATCCATTGTTGTTGGAGCTATCACTCAGTACAACCATTTTGGAAAGCAATTTGGAATTATGTAAATAAAGTAACTAAAATGATAGATCTGAGTATGACATGATTTTAAAAAGTAAAACTCACTTAGGAACTAAAGAGTAATTATCTTATACAAATGAGGTGCAAGAGGAAAAACCAACAGAGAGGAATTAGATAAGGGATGAGGGCTGATAGTTCTGGAAACCTACTTTCATCAGGAATGGGTTCAAGAGGGAACAATACATATATATCTAGCCCAGTATAAAAGTCTTCTAAATTCAGAAAGAAATAAAATGCTAAGGGGATAGGAAGGGGGGAGAGGGTAAGGGAGGAAACTCTAGAGGGGGAGGAGGAGGGAATAGGTTAAAGGGGTACAAGAAGGGTGTTTAGATTAATGGGAATGGGAGGATAAGGGAGGGATCTTGGGGGGGTAGGTTAAGTAATAGGAGGGCAAGGTACAGGGTAGAAGTAAAGTAGAGCAGTCAGAAGGAACAGGAAATAAGAGATAGCACAAATATAAAATAAAGATCAGGAGTGGAATTTGTTATAGCACAAATATAAAATAAAGATCAGGAGTGGAATTTGTTAGGGAAAGAGGAGCAGGTGTGATAATCATGATCTTGGACAAAGTTAAGGCTAAAATAGGTTTAATCAAAAGAGAAAAATAGGAAAACTATACTATGTTTCAGCCATATTTATCAACATTGTTTTGGACTATTTAAAATAACTAGATAGCAAAAGGTGGGAATATTGCTATGGTGTAGGAAATGACGAGTTGGTGGACTTGGAAAAATATGGAAAGACTTGGACTTATGAAGGAAGAGGTTATTCACCCTGAGAGACACAGAGGATAAGTAAGTATAGTATGGTTTTACACAGATGCATATGAATGTATATGTCTACATATGACTAGGATTATCGATTATCCAAGCATGCGTATGTATGTACGAGTATGTGTATATGTATCGTTGTGTGTATATGTCTATATATGTATGTGTATATGCAGGTGTATATGTGTATGTATATATATATCTCTATATAAATATATCACGATTAATTGTAGCCTTGGGCGGGGGGAGATAAGGTGGGGGGGAAGAACATAATAAACAGTGTCTATCAGAGAACAAAAGAAAACTTACAAGGAAGCAAAAGAAAAGATGGACAGCTGTCAACACAATGCATAGTATTTATTATACAGGCTTTCTTGAAATGGAAATTTATTGCTGTATATTTTGAACTCTCATGTTCTGCTGTGCACATGGCAATGTTTTTTTCTTTCCTTATTTTGTAATATTTTAGTTTTAGTATTTCAGTTTGTTTCTCCCCCCCTTCTTATTTTGTATTTAAGTTTAAAATAAAAAAAATTTACAAAAAAAAAAAGGGAGGAGGCAGCTAGATGATGCAGTGGATACAGCACTGGCCCTGGAGTCAGGAGTACCTGAGTTCAAATCCAGCCTCAGACACTTGATACTTACTAGCTGTGTGACCCTGGGCAAGTCATTTAATCCTGACTGCTTTGCCAAAAACAAGACAAAATAGAATAAAAAGTCCATATATTTTGATCCAAGGATTCTATTACTAGGCTTAATCCCCAAAGAGTCCACTGATAAAAAGAGAGTCCCCATATATACCAATATATTTATAGCAGTACTTTTTGTGATAGCAAAGAATTAGAAACAAAGTAAATGACCATCAATTGGGAATGGCTAAACAAATTGTGATACATTAATTTAATGGAATATTACTGTGCTATACAAAACGATAAATGTAATGAATACAGAAAAGCATGGAAAAATTTAAATGAATTCATGCAGAGTGAAGGAAGGAGATTTAAGAAAACAAGACACACAATGTAAATTAAAAGAACCACAAAAAAAAATTCGAAAGTGAACACTGGAAAAATATAGAGAAAAAGCATGTCTTGAAACAAGAGATATGAAAAGACACTCCCACCTCATCCTTTGTAGATGTGGAAGACTCAAGTTTTACGTATTGTATATATATATTCAATGTTTTTTGATCAGTTATGCTGATTTTTTCTATTTTTTCTTGTCTTGAAAAAATACTATTTGCTATACGCAAAGGATTTCTAGAAGTGGAGGGAAAGGGATACTAGGGAAAATATGGTGACATTAAAAAATGTTTTTATTGATGAATTTTTTTAAGACAAATGTATTTTATGCTTGAATATGCTGCACACATCCAAACAACAAGTAGAGGTGTACAGAAATAGATTCAAATAGCAACTCATCATTTTAAACGTCTAGCCGCTCCCCTACACCTCCTCTTCTGGAAATCACTTGGAGGTCATCTGAGTTATGCACATTCACTCTGGTAAAACAAGAATATGTTTCCCTAAAACATCTGGTTGAAGAGTCAGCTCACTGCAGCTAAGTAAGGGAAGAGAAGATGTGATTTCTTAACAAAATAGTCCCGATGAAAATCTGTATAAAGGGCTACATTCTTTCTGGGTCATCTCTATCTCATTTTAGTTCATGCTCTGTGTCAGAAATTCTCATTCCTGGTGTCAGCAGGTACAGAATGTGCCTGCCCTACCAAATACACCATGTCAATGTACTACCACTCCAGATGTCGGCTGCAGTAAGCTCAAAGTAGGGCAGGACTGAATAAAGGGATGGGAGTCAGGCTAGCTGAGTTCTAGTTCCACTTTGCCACCAAAGTGTTGTGTGAACTTAGGCAAGTCACAGTTTCCTAATTCATAAATTCAGGGCATGGACTAGTTGACCTCTAAGAACTCTTTCACATCTACAAATTCTGTGATTCTAAGATGATCTGGAAGCTCCTTTCCAGACCTTTAAAAAAAAATATCAATGATTGCATAATGCTTCTCTCTACATGGGTGCTTATCTTGAGTGAAAGACCTAGGAGTGTTTGTTTTCCTGGCCTGCTAATATTCAAGAACTGGAGTCAAGGGGTTCAAAGTAATATGAAAAAGATTAAGCCAAATACAATTAAAACCCAAAGTTACCTGGACAGCCTGAGAAGACGGTGAATGGTGGGACTACAGTTTCAGGAGGTAATACTGTATTGTCTAGAATTTTGCAACAGTCTTTCAACACACAGCGTCGGCCCTAAAAGCAAAAATCTTGTTAACAGAATATAGATCAGGAAATGAAGGAGGTGGGGAATGTTTTCTCATCTGCTTCTTGGGTGGTTATTATTCTCTATTTCTTTCCCATTAATTATAAGGAGTAATTCCCAAGAAAAGTCACAAGCTGCCTAAGCTCAAGTCCCCAACTCAGTAACTTTTAATTCCATGCTTACTACATGCCAGTAAATGATGATTTTATGATTTATTTATATAAGAGTCTACTATAGGTATGCAAATAGCAGAAGGTTCTCAGACTTGAGGGTAGTTTTTATTTTTATTTATATTTTTAAAACAACATTTTATTTTCCCCCAAATTACACATAAGAACAATTTTTAACATTCATGTTTTTAAAAGTTTTGAGTTGCAAATTCTATACTTCTCTCCCTCCCTGCTCCCCTTTCTGAGATGGTAAGTAATATGATACAGGTTATACATGTGCAATCATGTAAAATACATTTCCATATTAATCATTTTATGGAAGAAAATTCAAAAAAGAAAAGGAAAGAAGGAAATAAAGTGAAAAATAATATGCTTCAGCGTCTATTCAGAAGCCATCAGTTCTTTCTCTGGACGTGGGTAGCAATAAGTCTGAAAGTAGTTTTTAAAAAGATTAACTACTTTCTTGACAAACCACAGCATCTTTCACTTATGCTGTTTTATCTGTGATTACTTTGTTAGTCATGTCCTCACTTGTATAATTTGGTGGGGCAGAGGAGGTTTACGAGACTTATTTGTTTCACGATTATGGAAGAAAGAGGTTCCTATTTCCTATTTGAAGCTGTAACATATTATATTTACAGAAGAAATACAAGTCCTACATTTCATTAGTTACTTTCCCACACTGCTATCATTTCACCTCTGCTGTGGTTACACTTCTTGGTAAAACACAATGTCCCCAGCTGAAAATGTGTGAACATTAACTCACTCAGCACAATGCTGAGGTACTTGGACCTAATATTCTACCCAAAGAACATTCTAAATACTCAGTTCCAAGTTGGATCTGCTGTTTTTATTTCCTTTACATGGAAGAATCCTATATGTATCATGAAAAAGGCAAGTTGCCAGATGAATTTTCTAAAACACTTATACCACCAAGGCTTTAATTCTATAATTAGTCAGACATATCCACTGACCTCCAATTTAATGAGCACTGACCTTGACCAAACTGAATTACCTCTAGGTTCTTAAGGGCAGAAACTATGATTTACTTTACCTCTGTATTCTCAGCACACAGCATGGTAGACAGTAGGTACTTGATAATTATTGATTTGAAAGAACTGAACTGTTCAAATGACTGTTTTTCTCCACTTGAGAGGTCTCTCCTCTGGATTTCCAATATGGTGACAGCCTATTTCTCTCTCAACATAACCAAGCTGAACATAGCTTAGAGATAATAAGTATCCAAAGGAATTCCACATAACTAACACTGTCTTAATGCAAGGAATCCTATAGAAAAAAGAATAAAGAACTAACTGGAACAGATAAAATATTTAAAGTAAATACAGGAAATCAGAAAAATCTTATTGCTGAGGTCATCTGAGAATTTTGAAATACTTAGCAAGTGATGACTAGCAATGATTAGCAATTAATGCCTCATGGATTTATTAATTCAAATGGTGGCACAAAAAGCCCATACAAATAAATCCAACAGACTGAACTGTGCTTTTGAATTTACATGAGTGGCCCTGGAGGGAGCACTTACAAGGTGTTTAGTTTTCATCACTCCAGAGCAAGGGTTCTTTAACTTCTTTCTGTCACAAACTTCTTTGGCAGTCTGGTGAAACCCAGACATCCCTTCTCAAAATGATATTTTTAAATAATGGAAGGAAATGCTAAATTTCAGTTAGAGGTCAGCAAAAATAAAGATGTCATTTTTTTCCTCATCCAAGTTAATGGCTCATTGAAATGTATTCATGGACCCCTTCAGCACTCACAGACCCTAGGTTTAGAGTAAAGGACAAGTGCAGAATTTGGAGAACCTTCTCACTACATGTTAAGAGAGTTCTAATCTGCTTCTAGGAAGATTGCAAATCCCAATCTGAATGGAGCTCCTGATCTGTAAAGCCTTGGGATGATTTAATTCAAGTGAGAACTTATGCTCCTATAGATCCTACAGCTATATCCCCTGTACCAAAACTAGCCTGAATGTGAAGTAAGTGGAGCCACAGAGCTTTAAAAGAAAGAAAGAAAGAAAGGATGGACAAAAGAAAAAGGGAGATTGGGAAGTTGGAGGCTGAGGTTAGAGAAGGAAGACTGCTTAGACAAGCTGATGCTACAACACTTACAATTACACAGTTCTTGCCTATGTGGACATAGGAACCGATTTGGGCTGCATTGACCACACAGTCCTCTTCAATAAAGACGTGGTCACCAATGTGAAGAGGAAAGAATGCCACTCTGGAGAAGGAAAAGGAAGATGAGAATAAAAAGTTTAATTTATTGTACTTTGAATCTAAGTTTACATAACCACAGATCATTTATTCCACTTCACCACTTTAACTAAAGGTTATTTTTACTGGCTCAGAGTGAGTGTAAATAGCAATTGTTTCTGTTTTGGCCAGAAACCCTGAGGGTCTTCCCCTCCCAGGATGATTTTTTAAATTTTATTTTTCTGATTAGGTAAAAGAGGCCATTCTTTGCCTCATTTCTTACCTAGTGTTAATCACTCAATGGGCATTGCCTCAGTCAAACTGAGACCTGGGAAAGACCTTAGCTTAAAAAGACCAAGGTCTCCCACAGCACCCAGGCCATCTCCAGTTATCCTAATCTATATCTTGCCACCAGACCCAGATGGCTCTGGAGGAGAGAGTGAGGCTGGTGATTCTGCACCGCCCTCCCTCACTTAAATCCAATTCACTTGCAAGTCAAGACATCACCTTCCTGATGTCATGATCCTCTTGGAGAATGAACGATAAATAATGAACGATCTATTTTTGACAAGGAAAGAATTCTGTGAACAGAATCTTAAAGTTAACACAGCTAAGCCCAGAGAATGACTCCTTTTATTTTGAGATCTTTGTAGTGATAAAACAGATTTAACAAAACATTAGTTTTCTCAAAAGCAACAAACGTTGTCAGTTTTAGACAAAAGAGAAGTGTTTGGAACTGACAGGCAAACTCTTTGGGTAGAGTAGAAGGAAGAAAAGTTGATGGCAAGCTACAAAATAAGCACTGGAGAAATAACATAAAAGTAATAGGGTCCTGGGAGATAGCAAATCTTTCCATTTAAAAAAAGTTTTATTCATGTCTCTTTTTTTATATCAATCATTTCATGATACACAGCTCCCATGTCTACTGAATCCTTCCTTGTTATGAAAAAAAAAAGTAAAACCAAATAGCATATCAGCTGTGTCTGACAGAATATCCAACATTCCACTTCCCTTGTCCTGTACTTTGCTTGTATGTCGAGGGAAAGAGTTCCTCATTTGTCCTCTGAGGGTAATAATGGGCAACACATTTATGTAGAGTTCAGGTGCCTTTTTGTGTATATCATTGTAGCCTTTATGTGCTATTCTCCTGGTTCTGCTAACTTCATTCTGCATCAGTCTATAAAGGTCTTCCCATGCTTTCTAAATACTTCATGTTGCTTGTTTCTTATAGTATATGTGTATGTGTGGTATGTAATATACATCCATTTATTCAATCACCTAAAATCAAAGAGTACTCATGTTATTTCTAGTTTTGAGTTACACTAAAAAGTACTGCTATGACTGTGGGTACCATATGGGGCCTTTGTGCCTTTGACCTTTTTGTGATGTATGCCCAGTAATGAGATCAATAAACATTTCAACAAGCATCTATTAAATGCTGGGTTGAGACGTATAAACAGTGGGGGCAGCTAGGTGGCGCAGTGAATAGAGCACCAGCCCTGAAGTCAGGAGCACCTGAGTTCAAATCCAGTTTCGGACCAAACACTTGACACTTACTAGCTGTGCGACCCTGGGTAAGTCACTTAACCCCAACTGCCTTTAAAAAAAAAGTATAAACAGAGTAGTGACTTTTCTCACATAATTACAAATTGTTTTCCTAAAGAGACCAGCAATGTATTATTGTACATGTCTTCCCATGGCCCCTGCAACACTTATTATTTCTGCTTTTAATCCTATCTGCCAACTGGACTGGTATGAGGGCAAAACCTCAGAGTTGTTTTAATTTGTATTTCGCTTGTTAAAATGTTAGAGCAATTTTTCATGATTTCTGATAGCTTGCAATTCATTTTTTGAAAGCTGTTCATATTCTCTGACCACTTAGTTATTGAAGAATGGCTCTTGGTCTTATACATTTGTGTTATTACATTGTGGACACTGCACTTTTATCAGAAATATTTTGATGCTAACACTTACTAGCTGTGTGATTCTGGGCAAGTCACTTAACCCCAATTGCCTCACAAAAAAAAAAAGAAAAGAAAAGAAAAAAAAAAGAAGAAAAAGGGCAGCTAGGTGGCACAGTGGATAGAGCACCATCTTGGACTCAGAAGGACCTGAGTTCAAATCTGGCCTCTGACACATAACACTAGCTGTGTGACTCTGGCAAGTCATTTAAACCCAGCTGCCACAAACACACACATTTTTGGTGAGGCAATTGGGGTTAAATGACTTGCCCAGGGTCACACAGCTAGTGCCACCTAGCTGCCCCCAAAAGTTGCAATGTTTTCTTTTCATTTTCTTTTTTTTTTGCAAGGCAGTTGGGGTTAAGTGACTTGCCCAGGGTCACACAGCTAGTAAATGTCAAGTGTCTGGTCTGAGACCGGATTTGAACTCAGACCTCCTGACTCCAAGGCCACTGCTCTATCCACTGTGCCACCTAGCTCCCCCACATATATATTTTGATGCAAAGATTTTTCTCCCACTCAACAGTTTTTCTTCAGAGATCTTCTTTTTAAAATAATTACCTCAGAGAATCATAAGAAGATCTGTCCTGTACTCTTACCTTCTATTTGGCAGTCAGTTAATATTTTTAGGGGTCTAGCCATGTCATTTCATTGGTGTGAGGAATCCCTGGCATAGAAACTCCCTCCTAGAAATAGTTAACTGGGAAAAAACAATTGTAATTTCTCTGACATATGTCTGATATCCAAGACATGTAGAGAACTGATACAAATACATAAGAACAAGAGCCATTCCCCCAAAAGTTAAATGGTCAAATGATATGAATTGGCTGCATTCAAATGAAGAAATTTAAGCTAACACCAATCATACCCCCAAAATATTCCAAATCACTAATGATAGAGAAATGCAAATGAAAACAATTTTGAGGTTTCACTTCACACCCATACGATTGGCAAAGATGCCGAAAAAATGGCAGTTGTTGGAAGGACTGACACACAAAAGTCAGACACACAAATGCTCTGTTGGTAGAGCTATAAAGTGATACAGTCATTCTGGGAAACAAATCGGAACTATACACAAAATGTCACTTACCTATATGTACTCTTTGATTCAATGATACCAAGTAGTTAGCATACCCATCAAAGAGGTCAAACACATAGGAGAAAGGATCCAAGTGTACAAAAACATTTGTAACAGCACTTTCTGTTGTAGCAGACCAACAGAAACAAAGCAGATGTCTATCAACTGGGGAACAGCTGAAGAAACTGTGGCATATGATTTTATTTCCAGGATTTAGTTCCAAATTTCTAATTGCCTGAAGGACATTTTCACTTACATATCACTCTGCCACCTCAAACATCCCAAGGCAATGAAAACGTACAAGATACAACAGCTAAACTATTTATGGCCTTTGAGGATTTAGGAGAAGTATTATAGGACTGGTGATAAGCAAGTATTTTCACACTTTTTGAAAAGAAAAAGAAAGTAGATTCTGTGAGCCTTCAACCATTGAGTCTGATGTCCATTTTTGGCAAAAATTCTAGAATGGATCAGGAAAACAGGTGATTAATTTGAAAACACTGATCAAGATCAAGAATTGAGAAAGAACTAGAAAAGGACTCAAAGAGAAGGGGTAGGACAAGGTAGTTGGTACAATAAGGTAAGTAAAATAAAGTGATAAGTAAGACAAACTGGTTCGACAAATAAAAGATTAGGGAGAAAAGAGAAAGGAAGTTGGGTATGACTGCCAGGTAACTGGTTGAGAGAAAGGAAAGGAAATGTAAATGTGAATAACAATGCTGTTCAAAGGTGATGAAAAGCTGTAAAAGTCTTAAAGAAGTGCTTAGGAGGCTAGGAGTAAGCATTCACAAGGAATCTGAAAAACAAGACTGAGTATCTCTACCAAGATGAAGGGCACCAATAATTTGGCTGTGACTTACATTAAATATGCAAGGTTTGTATTTTCACCATAGCCAAGTGACTGTTACCTATGTTCCAAGTGTAGGTTAATTTCCCTCCTGCAAGGGATGGTAAAGGGTCCTGAGGAACGTTCTTATGTTCTAGGCTAAAAAGGATGATAATGTAGCCAAAACAAAACAAAACAGAAGCAAGGCTTCATGGGGGGAAAGGGGTCTAAAGGAGAAAACTGGCTCATTTCAGGAGGTTAAAAGAGAGGATAACACTGAAAAGGAAGAAGAAAAAAGGGACCACTGTACACTTGGAATTAAAAACCAATTTGGAACTTGTCCAGAAGAAGAAAGAACGGGATGTTCAGAGAAAGAATGTGCTCCAGGGAATGATAAAGTAGACTCAAAGGTGCTGTCTGGTGAGGGAGGAGCCCATAAGCATCAGAAGAAGAGAAGAGCAGTAGTGACTCCCAATTCAGCTGTATCGTGGCAGCTATTTGTTTATGAGATAATCATAAGAAGTCTGTGTCTTCTTGAAGAATGTAACCAGACATAACAAAGAACCTCCTAAAACTTGTTAAAACATATGACTATTTACCCTTCTAGTGATTAATGTGGATATAAATGATAATGACTGAAGGAATCTAGAAAGCATTGCCAAGTTTCTTAGGCAAGAAACTGAAGTACAAAGGTATTGTTTTCCTCACTACTGTCTAATGAAGATAAGTGATGCAGAAGAGAAAAGTTGATATGTAAAGTGCAGGGGGTGGTTATGGTGGTTGTAGTAGAGAGACTGGAATGGAGGAGAAAGCAGACAGTCAGGAATATATACTCTGAAAATTATACTTTATTCTTTTTCTCCTTCAGTTCTTCCTGGTATATAGGAGAAGAATGGATTGAAATTACAAGTTGATGACAGCTTGATATGAAGGGAAAAATCCTGATAAGCACTCACTTGTCAGTAAAGGGGATTCCACTTTAGGTAATGGTAGGATTAGATGACCTCTAAGGTCCCTTCCAAGGGACCAAAGTTGAGTGAGATTCAGTGAATGGAAATGGTATGGAGGGAAAGGAAGCTTCCCAAGTGTTGATAACAGAGGGCTCTGTTAGATCATGCTATGATGGCCAGAACTAGAATGGCAGTAGTAAAGATGGAGGCTTT